CCATCTGCCAACCCCTCCCTGGGGCCGGGGTCAGGGCTGCTCTTCGGGAGTCTCCGGCCTCTCCTTACCAGAGGTTGTCCTTCTGGGTCTTCTCAGGAGGTTGGTGGCCACGGCTCCGGGACCCCTGGCCCTTCTCCCTGGAGGAGGTTTTGGTGGAACCTGGGGCCCTACAAGCTGGGCCCTGCCCATTCACTACATGGCATTTCTGAGAGCTGGCAGGGGCTGGAGGTGGGGGTGGGGCCCGGGCGTAAAGCTTGCTGAGGGGCCCATGTCTTCTTTCTGTCACCAGGAGGTGGAGAGAGTAATCGAGGTGAGTGATCGACTGCCTCCTTCCCACCCTGCTGACCCTGCTCACAGACGCACCAACAGAGGACCTGCAGTTGACATTTTAAATGCGCCTCCTTCTCCTTGGAATCTGAGTCTTCAAGACTCAAAATGCTAGGACCCAGCTTCCTGAGCCTCTTAGCTCCTGACTCCACCTGAACTGCTGGAAGTTTGCTCAAACAATAACCCCAACCTGCCACAATCCTCTGAGGCCACCACGCCCCCCACCAGCCCCCAGGACTTCCCTATTCCCAAGGCCGTGCTCCGTTTACACACATGACCTCCCAGCTGGCCCTGTCCTCAGAGTTCCGAGTTCCACCTCCCCCTGCCCTCTCCGTCTGCTCCCTAGGGCTCCCCTCACCGCAGTGCTTCTGGAAAGCTTGAGGCTTCACCACTTGGCTGCAGTGGTTACACACAACCAAATAGAAGTCGTCATGGGCAGGGCAGTGCCCGAAGATGGACATGTCTGCAACGAAGAAGCCCTTATCGCTGGGGCTGGGCACCCCAGGGTTTCCCTGCGAGGTCGGCGAGCACTCCCACCCCACCCCTTAGGAGACACTTGCCCTCCCTGCTGACGTGACAGGCTTTATGCTGGAGTCTCCCAGCTTCCAGAGTCCAACCTAACCAGGCCTCGAGAATGTGGGCTTTCGGGAGAGTGGGCATCAACCCCCGATGATTAGGATCTTCTACAACAGGTCACAGCAGCCAGGTGAATGGGTGGACTCAGACCTATCAGAGTGAGGATCCCAGGCCTGCCCCTTCAAGCAGCCACCTCCTGGGATGCAGCGGAAGAGGGGCAGGGGTCCTGTCTGCCCTGGGCCCCAGCCCTGGCGTGTACTGACTCCCACCTTCTTTAATGAGGGTCATGGCATCCAACTTCTTCGTGCTTTTGTTAGTCTCCTCCAGCTCAGCCCCTGGAGGAGAAACACAGCTCAGAAGGCCCACCCCCTTCCCAGAAGGCCCATCTCCTACCCAACCAGGGCCCGCAGCCTGCAGCCAGGCGGTAGGAAGCCCAGGCTCCCTGACAAGCTCCTGATGCTCAGGGACCCCTTGGAGAATGTTCAGTGGGCCATTCTCCAGTGCCCTTTCTTCCTCCATCTGCTGCCTCTGGAAGGAGCTAGTCCCATTAGGAGGGATCCAGCCGCCTTCCTCACAGACCCCTGACTCCAAGATGAGGTTCAGGGTTCCACTGCCGACTCGTTGAGTGATTGTGGGTAAACAGCTTTTCTGGCCTGCTTCCCCAGTTAAATGGGAAACAGTCCTTAACATATTTTACTATAGATCCCTGAGTCCCTTCTTGAGATTACTGAGATTGGTCCTTTCTGCTACTCTGTGGCACTCCAGACAGAAACTCTTCCAGGTCCCCTTTCCCAAGAACTCAATTTTGTTCTACTGGGGTTACCACAGTATTGTCAAAGTTATACCCAGCTTCTCAGGACCTACATTGGTAGTATGGCCACAGAACAGAGAAACTGTGGGTTTGGGGCCCTCTGGCATCTTCAAAGTCCCCCTGGTCAATGACGCAAGCCCCTTCTCTCTTTAGGGGGTTTTGGGCAAGGGTTGCCCTCATGCCTCTCAGTGTCTGGGTGGATGACAAAAACATCGCGGCTGTTCAAAGCAGCTCTTTCCCCATCCCCCTACCTTACTTCTCTCCCCTCCCTCCTTTATGCCCCCTCCCTGTCCCTTGAAAAAAAAATCAATTCTGAGTCACCAAACCCGTCTGATTCCATTTCCGGTTCTCAATGCACCCAGACCCTGACAATGGCCCCATCCTTGCCCACCCAGCATGGAGTGGCCTGGGCTCCCACCAAGATCTGCTTCAGCCGCCTCCTAACAGATTTGCCCCTTTCTAGGTTGAGAAGGCTGTTGACAGTCTTATATAATCTCCAGATATGAGGAGTGGTGGGTTAGGCATGCAAGAGACATGGGGCAGCTCCCACTCTCAAGTCGGTTAAAATGCAGTGATGGACAGAACTGAGCTGGGAGTCGGATGTCTTAGAGGAGAACAAGTGTCATCAAGAGACCGCATGGAGCCGTCCTCTTCCTCCACCTCTTCTTACTTGCAAACTTCTTCAGGGGCGTGATGCTTGCTGTCACCCCAAAGGCCACGAGGCCAGGTGCCCCCTGGGGCCCAGGAGACAAAGATCAGGAGAAGGGGGCTGTCAGCCTGATCACCAAAGGCACTCAGGGGCCTGGAGAAGGTGGGGTTCAGGGGAGAGAGCCAAGAGGCAGGGCGAGAGGCCCGGGAAAGGACGGTGGGTTGGAGGCATGGATGATGGACAGAAGGAGGCAGGAAAGGAGGATGGATAGATGGATAGACCGACGAACTAACGCGGAGGAGGCTGGGGTCCAGTAGCACCGCAGCCGTCAGGCAAAAGCCGAAAAGGAGCAGGCGGTGTGGGGCAGAAGGCGAAGGAACAAGGGGGGCTGGGAGGAGGGCACAGAAGTGGGGTGCGTGGGAAACACGTGGAGAAGACTGTGGCGGATGGCGAAAGCCCGAGGCAGGTTTAGGAGGGGCGGAAGCTGAAAGACAGCAAGCTAGGAGGAAGATAAAAGCAAGTACATGTGGGGGCAGGTATTGGACACCGACGCAGGCAGAGGTGGGTAGGGTGGGCTGCGGGCGATGAGCCGGCGCTAGGACCCGGAGGCGCGAAGGAGGGGGAGCCGGCGGGCACTAGGACCCGGCGGGTCCTTTGTTTGGGGGGCCGGGGAGCCGGACGGCGGCTCCCGTCGGCAGCTCCCCTCTGCTGGAGGGGACCCGGAGTGGGGGAGGGGAGACAGTGATGGGGTCCCCGGACTCTAGGGGAGCTTCACTCACCATCGGCCGCGGGCAAGTCGGCCCGTTCCACCCACGAGCTCCAGCTCTGTCCCGCGAAGTCATCGAGACTCGGCAGCCGCCGCTCCAGAGCGGCCATTGCTGCCGCCGCGCGTTCACGCACCGCCATCACCGCCGCGGACGCGCGCCCGCCCCGGCGCCGCCGCCGCGCGGCCCCCTCCCCCAGCCCCGCCGCGGGCACGCCTCGCCTCTCCCTCCCACCTTTCCAGCTCACTCTTTGCACAAGCGCAGCACAGGTCGCCTTTCCCTCACCCTCCCTCCCTCATAGCCTTCTGGGAAATGTAGTCTTGGAAGAGGTGCTATTGCCTACCGATCTTGCCGGGAGAGCCCCTCCGAAATGCTCAAATGCGGGGGAAGAAAGAGACCAAAGCCCCAGGACTTCCCCGCCTAACCCTTGTGCACACATTCTTTCTGCTACCAGCCCACTCTCTCAAGTTCACCGCAAAAATGCCCCAGCCCCTTTGAGCCGTTCCTCCGCCAACCGGCTGGCGCCCCTTGCCGGGCTGGCGGCTGCGAAGCGATTTCGCTCTCCCGTAGATCGAATAGGTGCAAGGAGGTGGGCGCGGTGAATCAGAAGGGCAAGGGGAGGGAGTCTGTAGGATGTGTTGAAGGACACAGGGGTTGGAGTGGGGGAGGGTCCTCGGCTCCCGTGTTGTGCTTCCTCTGTGGGAACCCCACGCTGCCCTGATGCAGAGCAGAGGGTTGGAGTGGCGATGTCCGTGCTTGGGAGGACCTAGCTGAGATGACCAAGATCACCTGTCAGGATGACAGAAGGCTGTCTCGGAGCCAGAGCCAGCCCCGGAACTGGGTTTGCAGCATCTCTGCTGATCGTCTCTCTCCTCCTGAGGACTGCGATCGATACCCCGTACTGCCTCTTCCCAAACCCTGGCTGGACCCTGCGTCCATCCATCACTTTGGCTTCTTTTTCTAATGAATATTTTCTCTGCTGGAAGGGCTGCTACCAGAGCTTCAGCATAGGGAGGTTTCTCATCAGATCTGTCATTTTCCTTGCTAAGGCCTGGAAAATACCTTAATCATCCACCTTTCTTCTTCTCAGCTGATAACATTTCTTCCCACCCTCACACAATCAAGAGACAAAAGCTCTCGCCTCCCCCATCACAACAGAAGAGAAATACTAATTCTCTTTTCCCTCCTCAACCCCTCACATTTCACCCCATATTCATTCCTTCAGCTGAGTAGGAACCCAATCAGAGGCAAATCGATCAAAGTCTGTGACTTCAAGACCTCGGATTCCTTCTCACTTTCCCCTCAAGGATGATCTCCCAGAGCAGGGATTCTTGACCCAAGAGCCGGACACGATCCCTAGGGAATTTCGGAACCTGGTGACGTTGACTGTCATGTTGTGCCCAGGTGTATTTTTCTAGGTAGTGTAAATGTAGCATGTGACTGTCAGAAGGGCAGAAAGAAGTGCAAATGTGTTCAGCAAGAACCTTTATAGTTAAGAGGGCAAGCATATGGCTCCCTCGAGTCAGACAGGAAGCTTGTCTGGGTCACAGATGTTAGGAGAACAAATGTAAACAGCTTTGTGGAAGCCTCTCTCTCTCTCTCTCTCTCTCTCTCTCCCCCTCCCCTCTCGCCTTTTGAGTTTGCTCTAAATTTGCTAATAAGTCTTCATTACTTTGGACTAATTGATGTCATCAAAAGAGATGCCCAGCCTGGGGCCGGCCAGGAACAACTCCTCGTTCTTCAGACTGTATTGCTGGGGTGCAGAGTAGGAAGGAGTTGAATGATATTTTGGTGGACATGCAGATATTTTGTCGAAGAACTTAAAGCAAGGGGAGGAAGAGGAAAAAGTCCTCAGAAGGGCTCCAGTCTTGGCTTCTTCGTGGCAAATGCTTGAAGCACTGTTTATTCCAATGTGTAATAACAAGCACCAGAAAACAACATGCAACATCTCCCCCCACCCCTGGTCTGCAGTCCCAGAGGTAGGAGACCTATGACCATGGTGGTGGAGGGTACTCCTATTCAGGAAAGGACAGAAGTAGGCAGCCTGGGGGATGGGGGTGGGAGGGTGCTATTCAGAGTTACTAGGGCAAAGGGCCATGCCTGTTGGCCTCCTGCAGCAACTGGAGAAACCAGACACGTTCTTCTACCTCTGGCCCCACTAGGCAAAGCGGTGCTGCCAGCCCGGGTTGGAGGGGACAGGAATGCTATGAGGACAGCCCTGCCCTCGGGCACTTGGCCTAGCCCAGCCCTCCGGAGGTACGAGGTGAAGTAGTCTTTCCTCTAAGTGGGAGAGGGTATCACCTAAGTCAGGGCTCTCCTGGCTGAGAACAAGCTAGTCTTTGGAGGAGAAAGAGACTTCTTTGCTCCAGGGAAAGTTCTGGGCTAGGAGTCCTTGGCAGGAGCACACGCCCACCTACTCCCCTTCCCCAGTGATGGGCCAGTTGCTAACTTCAGCCCCTAAATGAGAGCACTTTATCCATCACATTGCAAAGAAATTATAAATACGTACACAAAATCCAAACAAAGTTCCAGTAGAAGCTGCTCACAGACCCCCATAGGGGCCAGCCTGAAGAAAAATGAAGTCACCCTTTTGTTCTCGGTTTCTCCGGAGCTGCAGGCAAAACTGTCCCTCCTTGTCCTTGAGTAAACATGGGGACAGCTCAGGGACAGAGTTTCAGACTTAGAAACACTCATCCCATCTCCTCTCTTCCCTCCTCAAATCCCTTCCCCCAAATTGAAGAAAAGGGAGAAAAACATCTAATTCTTGCACCGAAGGACTCGAGCATTTGAGGATGTAAACCTCTCACTCCACTGTCAGGCAGGGGAATTCTGACCCAAAGAAGAAATGATTGGCCCAAAGGCAAAAGTCCTGACTTCCTGGGTGGCCCGTAAGGCACATGTTCCTTTGACTGATGTTTAGGGAGGTGAGGAGGTTGGAGGGGGTGACTCAGTCCTGAAGAGAGATTGGCACAGGGCGCTTTCGCCTTTGTGATGATAATGGGCACCGGATTGGAAAGTGGCTGGATTCAACCTTCTTCATCCCGCCCTGGGCAGCCCTGTGGCCAGGGCAGGCTGGGTAGGGCTGGGTAGTCGGCACTGAGTCTTAGACCCTGGGGTCCAGAGAGGGACCGAAGGAGGCATCAGAAAGAGGAGACATGCCAAAGACTTATGGAACTGGGTCCCGAAGTGAAGAAGCACCAATGGCATCGGCCTTCCCTGGACCGGGTGTGGGGAGAGAGCCTGGGACAGATGAAGCAGCAGGGGAGGTATGGGGGGCTCAGGGAGAGGGCACGTCCTTTTGTGAAGGTGAGAAGGGGACGTGTGAAAGGGGCCGGGGACTGGGGGACTGTGGGGTGGGGGGCAGAGGATGAGGAAGAAATGGGCCCATCCATCCATGGCCTGAGGTCCTGGGGCAGCTTGGCCTCACGATGGCCCTTTGGGCCCTTCCAGAGTCCCTCTCTGGCCCCACAGGAATGAAAAGAAGGCCTGGCTAGACTTGGAGAGGGATCTTGAATGCCTGACCCAGGGGGCTGTGGGGGGAGGGTGGGCGGACATGGGCAGAGAGGTTGGAGGAGGTCTGAGATGGAGATGCTCCTGGCCCCTCATGTTGTGTCCCGGGTGTGAGACCAAGCCGAGGAAGGAGGACGGGGAGGGAGGCAAGGAGTTCAGGGCCAGGGTGAGCTTAGAGTGTTGGTGGACAGTGCCCCAGCTTGGAGGGGCCGGGCCCTGAGGGAATAGAAGAAACTGACTCCCCGGCAAGTTTCCTGGCTTTAGTTTCTTGAATTTCAATGCAGTTGCAACGTGTCTGCTCCCCACTGAGCCTAAGGCCGCCTCAGGACCCTCTGAAGGCTCTCTTGCAGGCTAGTGGCCTCCTGGGTTGACACGAGCTGGGCCCCACGGGCAGGCAGAGGCCGGAGGAGAGTGGGAAGCACACTGAGCTAGGGCTGTCTGGGGCCCCGCGCCTGTGGGGCGCGCACGGCAGCCACTGAAGCGGGGTCACTAAGCCGCTGGTGGGCCCTCCGCGCAAGGGACCAGGGAGAAGGCTGCCAGCCAGCTTCCCCTCCCCCCACTTTTATTGACAGGTTGATAGAAGTGGCTGCTGGGAACCAGGCTCAGGACTCTGGTCTCCTGCCTCCAACCCTCGACCGCGGCGGAGGCTGTGAGGCGCCCTACGCCCCCAAGTAAGGTGCCTGGGTCCGGGCAGAAGACAAGCAGCACTGAGTTCCTGCCATCCCATCCGGGGCTCCAGCAAGAGGAGGGACAGGGAGCCCCTGGGAGGGCTGCCCAGGTTTCCGACAGCTGCTGCCTGCCCATCCGTCCGTCGACGAGGACGACGACGACTTCTCAAAGCTCAAAGCCCAGGATGGCGGGGGAGGGGAGGTGGAGGAGGAAGAAGAGGGCGGTCCTGGAAGCCGGAGGTGGTTGCTGTCCTGTTCCGGAGCAGCCGGGTGGGGGCTGCTCACTGCTTCTCCACGGCTCCCTGCTCGGCCGTGCTCTCCTGGCTGGGAGCCTGGCCCTGGGCCTGGGCCTGCCCGTGCCATGGGGTCTCCTTGAACACAAACCAACAGTTCCCGGCCCATAGGAAGAAGTTGATAAAGCCGAACAGCTGCAACGACATCGGGGGAGCTTATGAGACGAGGGAGGGGGCACCGTGAGAACGGGGAGGGGGGACCTACCTGTAGTGCGGGCAGATGGGGAGAGGGCAGAGGGCTACGAAAACGCAAAGACAGAAAACTGGATATGGAGGCAGAGGTCAAAGCCAGCGCCCACTAAGGGTTCTCTGGTGAGGGTGTCTAACTCTGTGTAAGACGCACCCAGGCTGAGGCGTGGGCGCTGGGAGACTCTGGCGTCTGCAGTGGAGACACTTGCAAAGCATGGCAAGAAGCAAGGGCCCCGGTGGCTCCCCCCGCCCGCAGCCCACGCCCGCGGCGGGTTCCCGGTGCCCTCTGGAGAGTGGGCGTGGCCAGAGCTGTCCAAGGTGCTCTTTCCCTAGGGCCGACCCGGCCGGGGAGGGGCCTAGCCAGGGCTCTACTCACGTATTTATTCACAATATTTAAAAACCTATCAGCAGGAAGCATTTAGGGCGAAGAGTACCGATGCCTGCAATTAACTTCAAAATGCATTAAAAATAAGATGGATTGATAGATGAAGGGAGGCGGATAGACATGGTACAGTCTGGGTGATGAGTATGTGGGTGTTCATTGTAAAATTCTGCTGTATGTGTGAAAAAATCTTTACAATAAAATGTTGGGGGGAGGTGAAACCTATAAGCAGGGTTCCAGCAAGGTCTGGAAGGCTCCCTGGTGTGCCAGGCAGTAAACCCTTCTGTTGCTGGGCCTTGGGGAGGTGCAGGCCATTTTCAGGGTAGGGTGGAAGTGGCTGGATGACAGAGGACATTTGAGGAGCTCGAGGCCTCAGTTATTTACCAACTGAACTGAAACTGTTTCAACACTGTAACAACTGGGACAGCCACGGATGCGCATGTCCGCTGGGCCCACCAGGGCCGCAAGCCCTTTTCCAGCCCGGAGGCCTGAGTGGCAGCGAGCCCCGTCTCGCTCAGCCTGGGTCTGCTCCCAGCCTTGAGCGCGGCGGCAGCGCTGGGCCCCCTTCCCACCCACGGGCAAGAGGCGGGAGGAGGGCGCAAGCCTGCCCGGAGGTGGGACCAGGAAGGCGCTGTGCAGGAGGAGGACGGACCGGAGGCTGAGTGGCTCTCGGGTTCCCCCATCCCAAAATGACTTCTTAGGGTCAGCTAGGAGCCAGCGGCCAGTGTTGGGCACAGGGGGCCCTGACTCCACCTGTCGGGGGTTCCAGCTCTGGGGACACCCTCTCTGTCCCTCTCGGGACGTGCCGCTGGGACCACACTGGGCAGCTGGGCAGCAGCGCCTCCCTCCCCCAGGCCCCTGGCGGCCGCAGGTCTCACCACGGAGAGGTTGACCAGCCCCATGGAGGGCGTGGCCCCCGCGCTGCACTCCACTTCCTCTCCGTGGCACACGGACATGGCGGCCGTCAGGCTGGACGGCCGCGTGGCCCCCTTGACGTCAGTGAGGCCCTTGCCCCAGGCAGCTGCAGCTACGAGCCAGAAGAAGGTGAAGGAGACGGTCACGCAGAAGTCCTGGGAGGAGCAGAGGGACAGGAAACACAATCATACCCCGAGATTCCTCACGTCCCTTCCTCTTGCTGTAATGCACTGGGACCCGGGGGTCCCAGGACAGCCCCCTCTCTCCCTCCTACCGAGAGCCTCAGGGGGCCCGGATCATCCTAGTGAACCTGTTGACTGTCGCCAAAGAAATCCTGCCGCCCAGGACGACCCTGGCCCACGCCCTCAGAACCGAGGTCAGCTAAAACTGTGCCAGGGCATCTGCTGCTCACTGTCACCCCAAAACCCGGGTGGCCTACTCCCCACTCTCCCTTCTCTGCCTTTCCTTAAAATTTTTTAAAACATTTTTTCCCCTTTTTTAGACTCATTTTTCAATTCCGGTTGATGTATTGTAGTGTCAGGTGCGCGGTGCAGTGAGGGGCATCCTCGCCTTGCCTTTGATCAGCCACCGCTCAGCTACAGCTGGTGGCAGAGGGAGGGCAGAGTGCAGGACACCGGTGTGGCCCCTCAGGCACCCCTCCCCCTGGCGTGCCTAGGGCAGGGAGGAAGTAAACGGGTGCTCATAGTAATAATAGATATTATTTCATTCCCATTTATTAGTTTAAGAGATTGAGGTTTAGAGAGAGTAAATAACTTTTCCCAGGGCCCGCCGCTAGTGAGGGGCAGTGCTGGGATTTGAACCCGGGCAGTCCGACTCCGGAGCCTGCTTCCTGCTGCTCTTGTGCCTCCCGCGAGAAGACCAAGCGATGGGAGGCTGGCAGAGGCAGAGTCCTGAGACTGCGCCCCAGGAGCTGCGGGAGCCACAGCGCCCCAAGGGGCCTACAGCCAAGCGCCGGTGGCGGCAGGGCCCCGGGAAAGCCGCGGGGTTTGCTCCCCACCAGCGCGGCTGCGCCCACTCACCGCCAGCGGGAAGCGCTTGTTCTCCGTGTAGAGGCCGTGGAAGCGCAGGTAGAACACCAGCGCAGCCATGGTGTAGAAGAAGGAAAAGATGCCCAGGGTCACGAAGAACTCGGCGGGGGCAGAGAAGTCCCCCATGAGGTGCATGGTCTTGGAGGTGGAATCGTCGTCGCAGAGGGGCATTTCATACTGGACCCGGTTCAACCTGCGGTGGCAGGGAGGCCTGCTGAGCTGGGGGCAGTCGCCCCGCCCCGGGAGGGCGTCGCCTGTGCTCCCTCACCCCGACTCTTAGGGGCCAGAGGGGGCGAACCTTCCAGCCAGCACAGGAGCTTCCCCGGGAGTCCAGTGGAACCCCGGCTCCCATTCAGCCACCAACCCACGTGCATCCACCTTGCCCAGGTAGGTGACCATGGGTTTCCAAGTATCTCCAGGGCCCTTTAGGGTCACAGCCACATTTATGGTCCATCTGTTTCTGGTAGCCAAGCCATCAGAGGCTGAGCTCCATTTTGCCTCAGGGAAGGCAGAGGCCACGGGACTCAAGCCTTCCTTGGGTCCCAGTGAGACTATTTTAGACAAAACAAAGAGGAAAACAAATCCTAGTATATACAAGAGACAATCTAACTTAGCTGCTGCTGCTAGGAATTTCTGAAAAGGTGAATCCTGTCCCCACTGTCCTCTGAATTCTTAGGCTCCCCCCTCCCTCAGCTCCCAAATACCCAGGAAAGACTGTCTCTTCCATGTCGTGGGCCTCCGTGTATTCCGATGCCAGGTAAGCACCCACATCAGCTCTTTGGGATCCAAGTACTAGCAAGCTTCCTTACCTTCAAGGCAAGGGGGAGGCTGCTGAGGGTCAGAGACCTGCCCAGCTTGCCCAGACTCCCATGATCCTCCATTCCAGACTGTATGAGTTCTTGCTGTAAAGCTGTTGTTACCTGCCATTAACTGAAACATTATTACAACAATGGTCGATCTGATTTCCCTTGTATTTTTCTCTGGTCAGTGTGTCTGAAATTCCTAAAGAGCAGGAAGGACCCAAGTCTGGAGTGAGGTGGAAAGCGCCTAGCAGTTCCTGCCGATCCAGTGGGGGAGGCTGTGCAGGGTCAGGCTGCTCACCTGAAGGGATAGCCGAACAAGACGATGATGGAGCTCACGTCCTTGGCTGTGTTGCTGCAGCGAACGATTGCTCCTGTCTCCCCGCTGTAGGAGCCGCAGCACCCGAAGGCGAAAATAGCAAAGAGCTGAGGGAGAGTGAAGCCCTTCAAGAGTCAGAAGGCCTCACCTGGCCAAGGCCTATCCCTTCAAAGCTACCCTCTTTTCACAGGTGGGCACAGGTAACCAGGTTCTTGGTGATCGTGGACAAAAAATTGAACTGAACACACAGAGTTTATAGCAGAAAGTGAGAAAAAGCAGATTTATTAAGCCACACAGAACATGGGAACAGGCCAACTCTGAGCAGAGCCGAGCAGAGAAGAGCACAGCGGAGCAGAGCCTACCAGCCTAACAGCAGCAGCAGCAGCAGCAGCCCGAACTCAGGAGCCAAAGGGTGGGTTTCCTCAGGGTGGGTTTCCCATGATTTCATTGATTGGCTACTGGGAAGGGGGTCCCACAATGCTAATTCATTATAATGTTATTATAATGAAGCAGGGGTCAGGTAGCATCTTCTGCACAGGTGCATTCCTGATTCACTAGGATTTAATGCTTTTCCAGATGCAGAAACTACCAGTCTTAGAACAGGGTCTCCACCCTTTATCCATGTTCTTTATCTTACCCCTGGGGCACCTCTGGAGTTTCCTCCTTCCTATCTCCTGCTTCACTTTGACTCTAAGCAGCACGGATATACATGGGTGGGGGGCGGGGGGTGGTCAGGATCCCTTTAATCAAGTCCCTCCTGGGCAGCGGCCCCGGCTTCCATGGGTCTTCCAGCCTCGCGGAGCTGTGGTCACTGCCCAGGGTGCTGGACCAAAGAGCCAAATGAATAAGGCTGACTTTGAGTGGTGTCTGGATGTGACATTGGGGACCACAGGGAGCCTCCTTAAGATAATGACTAGCACAAAGTGATTTAGGCTTTTGGAACCTTTTAGCTCCAAGCTGGCCTTGAATTTCCTCCCAAGGGAGAGGCACCCTGGAAACAGAGTCCCCAGCCTCAGCCTGGATCGGGCACACTTGTAGTTCTTCCCTTGTCTCTTTCAGGGCCATCGTTGGATCCTGTCATTACCTTGTAGCTAATTTCCAGTGGCTTCCTGCCTCAGTGGAGGCAGAGCTGAAGGGGACAACGTCTGCCAAGCCTTCAGAGGGGCCAGGAGAGCAGAAGCCACGCTGCTACCCCACGGTCCTGCCGCCCGACTGCTCTTCCCCAAGCAGAGCTTGCAGGGCCAGTGCCCAGGGTCCTGGCTTGAGCCTGGGAACAGCACCTTCCACTTGCCTGGCCAGCCTCCACTCTCTCCCCAGTGGCCTCTCCCTTTGTGATTGGTTGGCGCTGCCATTTCTCAGGGTGAAGGGAGGCGTTTCAGGTCATGTGAATTGTTTTCCTCTCATTCTACTAAACCGCCTGTCCTTAGTGATATGAAATGCCCTGAGCATATGATTTTCGAATTTCCTTCTGGGGAAACACGCTTTGAGTAGGGAAGGATGTGAGAAATTGGGATCTCTTATCCTCCCATATCATCTGTTCAGGCCCTGTTTCCTGGGTTTGTTCGTGATGTAATCATTCTCATTAAGCAGGGAGCTGATTGTTAATTGTGCATTTCCTGTGTGTTTCTCTGCGACTCAGCGTCTTGGATGTTAAGCACCTGGAAGACAGCTAATCCACACCCCGATCCTGCAGCCAGAGGTGGAAATAGAGATGTGTGCGCATTATTTGACTCATGCTTGATGGCGTCATGAAATGAGAAGAGACCTGGATTAGGAGTCTTAGAATACTGTCCCTGCCACAAAATTAGCTGGGTGACCTCGCTCTGCTCTCTGAGTCTCCACGTCCTCACCTATAAAAATGAGGGGTTTGGAGGAGGTCATGTGGAGGCCTTTCGGAGGCTGCCACCCCCCACTGGCTGCGGGGAACGCTGTCAGGGAGCTCTTGGCTGGGCTTGCCAGCAGCTGCACCAGCCCCAGGCTGCTGCGGGCGCCACGGCCCCACCCGGCACCGCCTGGCCTGGCACTTCCTCTCCATGGTGGAGCCCCTGACCCCCCTCCCCTTTAAAGGTCATAACGGGCACCTCTCTCTTTCTAGGAGGTTTAGTCCAGACAAATAAGAATTGTCTCCATTTTAAAAAACACGCAGGGAAGGAGATAGTGTAACCTCCCCTCCAGCCTGAATAACCTCCTTGTCCCCCTGACGTTTCGGAGGCTGCTGCAGAGCCTGGGTGCCCGTTGTCACGACAGAGCTGTGGGGAAGTCACCCAGTGCCCCTGTGTCATCTTTCTTGACACACACCAAGTCGCCTCACCGGCGTCACAGTGGACCTTGTCTCAGAGGCCATCTCTAGTCTTTTGTCAGCTCTGTGGTTCTCTAACTCCTCTTGGCTTCTGACCGCCAACCGGACACAGTTAGGGCGTCACGTTCTGGGAAGGGCCGCAAGGTTGGATGTATTTTTACCCCTTGGCAGTAGTCAGTGAAAGGCCCTTTTGGTTTCCTGAGAACGCAGGCATCCCTAACTTGGGGCAATGCAACGGGCAGTTCCAAAAGCTTCCCTTCCCCAGCATTCTCTGGACAGACACTCCTGACATCTTCCGAGGGACGACATTTATTGAACATCTACTATGTGTCAGGAATTGTTCAAGGCACTAACACTTAGGAGTGAACGAAAAGAAAAAAAATATCTGTCTTCATGGAGCTCATATTCCACTACAGTGGCCACTAGTCCTATGGAAATATACATGAAGATTAAATACAATTTACAATTCACTTGCTCAGGCACACTAGCCACATTCCAAGTGCTCACTAGCCACATGGGACTGGCAGATGTCATACTGGATGACACATTATAGAACTCTTCCATTGTCACCAAGAGTTCTGCCAGGTCTAGTGGGCAACCTTGAGGTTCTGACCATCCTGGACCCTGCTTTATGATGTTTTTATGGGCAAAATATACCCATAATGACTTTTGTCTGTTCTGATTCTTTGAAAGTCAGGAATCTCTAGCACGTTATGTAACCCATTATTAATCAGAATATATGATTCAGCCCTGGCTGGCATGGCTCAGTGGATTGAGCGCTGGCCTGGGAACCAAAGGGTCGCTGGTTTGATTCCCAGTCCGGGCACGGGCTTGGGTTGCGGGCCAGATCCCCAGCAGGGGGCACATGAGTGGCAACCACACGTTGATGTTTCTCTCTCTTTCTCCCTCCCCTCCCCTCTGACTAGAGGTAAAGAAATAAAATCTTAAAAAAAAAAAAAAAAAAAGAATATATGATTCAGTTTGACGTCGCAGTCGGCTGTGGTGTGGCAGGTGGTTTGTTATATGAGTGGAGGGAGGGAGAATATGGAGGGGACTCTCACAGGTTCACAGAAAGCAGCTGAGCAAAAAGGATCTCAGAGATTATCGAGCGCCACGGTCTCGTGTCATAGACGTGGAAACTGAAGTCCCAAAAGATTAAGTGACTTTCCCAAGGTCACATTTAATCAATGTGAGAGCCGGGCTCAGAATTTACATACCCTGATCCCCGTCCAGTGCTCTCTCTACTGCATTCATTCATCTATTGACAAAGAGTCACTGAGCATCTACTTTGTGCCAGGTGCCAGCGACATAAAGATAAATGAGACCCTGCCTGTTTGCAAGAGTTTACATCTAGGAAGGAGAGTATCGTGCTCAAACAAACAAATGAAAATCCAGTAGCACGCAGTTACTGAGACTGAAAAAAGATCTCTACCACATGCAGGGAGGATTGCATGGAGGGAGGGTGTAGTTCTGATCTGGGGGGCAGGGGCAGAGATGCCCTCCCACCTTTCTGCACCTGCTTTCTTTCTTCCCTAACTGTGCCAGGTGACCGAACCACAGGGAAGAAGGGAGAGAACGGAAACCGCCCTTGTCACCAAGCACAAGGCTCTGAGTTGAGCCACCTGGTCATAAAGAACAGGAACCAAGGGGCGATGGAGTCCCTGGAGCAAGGGGATGGATCGCTGGAGTTCTGGTGCCAACCAGCCTTCCTCCTCTTGGACCTGCATTGCCGGGGGCAGCGATGGTCAGACACTGCCACCCCCACCACCCCCCCGGCCGCTCCTCCTGCCTTTGCATCTCTTTTGGAACGATGTCAGGATAACGTTGCCAGTCTAGGGATGAAGCTCCACTTTGGTGCTGACGTGCTTGTTGGGCATCGTCCTGTGTCAGTCCTGAAAACACTAGCATCCCCAGTTAATGGCTGGGTTCTAACAAGGAAGCCAAGTTCTCCCTCCAATCCTACTTCCACCATCACCTCATTGGTTTCATCGACTATGATGGGTTGCTTTCACTTTCCCCACACTTACTTTGTAAAAGATTTTTAAAATTTATTTTTAGAGAGAGGGGGAGAAAGGGAGAGAGAGAAGAAGAGACACATTGATGTGCAAGAGATACATCGATCAGTTGCCTCTCGCACGCCCCCAACCAGTAACCTGGCCTGAAACCCAGGCGTGTGCCCTGACTGAGAATCGAACTGGTGACCTTTCAGTTTGCGGGATGACACTCAACCCACTGAGCCACACCAGTCAGGGTTCCCCACACTTATCAAAAATAGCTGATTTTCATTACAGAGACCCCAGAACCAAATAAGTGACTTTGGCACCTCAAAGATGAATTATAGATCCAGGACATACCCCGTTAATGATAATATGACTTCTTAGGGGAACAGTGACTCAGTAATCCAGGAGATTCTTTTGTACCTTACCCTCAAAGTGAGGATTTGACAGTGACACTTGAATAATCTCACCAAAGGACAAGCCTAGCTGACAGTCTGCATAAGGGGCAAAGTTAGGGGGCAGGCATGGTTCAGGAACAGGAGGGAAGGAAACCAACACCCATGGCAGCAGCCCTAGGTTGACCGGCTCGCTGTGGTCTTCCTGAACGCTTGGGCACCTTACAGATGTTACCTGCTGCCGTCCTCCCAGTGAGCCCGCAAGGGGACTTACCCTCATTTACACGTAAGAAACCAAGGCCCATAAAGTTTCATCACTTACCGTAGGCTCCATGGCAAAAAACCAGAGGAGACTGGATTTAAACCAAGGTCCATCGGACCTCAGAGTCTGCCTCTTTTGCCCTGGCTGAGTGGCTCGCTTGGTTGGAGCATCATCTCATACACCAAAATGTTTGGGGTTCAATTCCTCTCTCTTTCCTTCTCTCTCATCAATAGACATGTCCTCGGGTAAGGATTTAAAAAAAGCCAAATTAAAAAAAAAAAGTCTCTCTCTTTTTTTTTTTTTTTGCCTTTTTTAAAAAAAAGACAAAAACAAAGAAACTCGTCTCCAACAACTGGTCTATGCCCATGTTATTTCACTAGCTCAGTGTAGACTTGGTAAGACCAGAACTGGAATTGAGGTGAGATTAGTTAATTTTTTAATTTTAAAGACATGCTAAACTAAACTCCTGACTGATAGACTAACATTACTTTCTTCTCACCAAGATTACAGTAAAACCTTTTCTTTTGGTAATAATGACAACAAAAGTTTTCAATTATCAAGATTTGCAGGTTGGGGTTTTGTTTTGTTTTGTTTTTTGTTGTTTTTGTTTTTGTTTTTTTTTCCCTTTTCTAGTCAGGAGCATTTGATCCCTCCAAGCAAGAAAGTAATGAAAATCCCAAATGACATTTTCACCGCCATTTCTGGTGCTGGTTTGAGGTACTTTTACATTAGATCATCTGCAGAGACTCAAGACAAGGGAAGCTCACACTCTGAGGATGGCAGTAAAAGCAAATCAATTCTTCTCAAGACACTGTCCTTTGAATGAAGGCTGAGTTCAAAGTCCAGCCTTGGGCCTCGGATTTAGCATTATGAGAGAAAGGATACTCCCTCTCTAGGTGATTGGGGATCATAAAAGGGTCATCAAGATGTGTCAGCTCTTAGGGATCAGCACTGAACCTGGGAAGAGACTGGACCATTCTCCTAGGCATTGCTTTGTGCAGCCTTTATACAAATAGTGCCAGGACTAGGGGTAAGGGATGGAGAAGGGGTTGAGAAAAGGATGGAAGGGTTGGAGAAGGAAGCTTTGCAAAATCCCCTCTTTGAAGATGATTTCATGGTCTAATAACCTCATTGTTACCTTCGTCCCTTGACAGTCTTTCTCAAATTTCCCTTAGACCCATTCATCTAGTTTAATGATATAATTGTACTTTTATATTTCAGCCTCTGCTCCTCCAGATCACTCATAATGGCTCCCCAGTTCTGGATGACAGTCGCATGGAGCCTTAACAGCCTTCTTGTATGGCCCCCTCTGGTACTGAGGTGGTGGGTGAGAACAGGAAAACGGGAGGAGGGGAAAGAGCTCAGTCAGCAGTCTGTCCAGCTGCTCTTGAGGCAGCAGGGAGAGTGGAAAGTTCCTAATGGGTCCCAGAGTTTGCACTTGGAAGCTCCCCAGGCTGGCCCGTAGCCCCGGACAGGGTCTCAGATACCCAGAGATAACCCCAAATGCACTATTACCCCTGAATTCCAGATTTGATGAATCTCATCCAAACGATGACCTGGGAATTGGTGACACAGTGCTAACTCCTGTCTCCAGTGAGTTAAAAGCCCTTTAGAACTCAATCCCCCTCAGCATTAACGGTAACTTACTCCCTAGCTGAATTCTGTGCTGAAAGCACATTAATATGTTATTCACACTCCATTTGGTGTGTGGATAGTCTAACTAAAATCTCTTCTGTGATGGTACACTAAATGCTCCCAAGTCTTTATGATTTGAAAGAGTGACTGCACCTGTCCACATTCCTCACTTACACCCAGGAGGCCTTGGGCACTAGGAAGGACAGAGAGCAACCCATGTCTCCAAGTACCAGTGAAGAAGGGCAATTGTATTTCCCCTAGACCATTACAGGGGAAACTGAGGCCCTGGGCAAGTGATTTCCTCAAGGTCGCAGGCTAAGGCTAATGAAGGGCAATAATCTAGCATGCCAACTCTTTTAGAGTAGAAGGGGACCCTTCTGGTCAACATTTGCTCTGATCAACATTTTACTGATGTTGGAAACTGAAGTCCAAAGAAGTGACTCGCCCAAGGTCACATGGCTGAAAAAGGCAGGTCCAGGTCTGGAACGCAGGTCTCTAGCTTCCCAGCATAATAGTCTATATTATTCTACAAGCCACATTTTGGCCGCACTGTGATTTTTATTCTACCTTATTTATTCTTTTATTTATTCCTGGAGCCATGAACTCCATTCATTCATTCATTCATTCGCCCACCAAGTCACAGTGGTTACAGGAACCAGATTTCAGACTACTCTAGTGACGTCAACAGGGCAACTGCGGGCTGGGGCCCTGTCCCTCCGACGCACCTGCAGGGTCAGGCAAGGTCTGGGGGTTCAGGGGGCCTGATGGTTTCCAGCCCCGCCCCCTGCCCTGCCCTGCCCTTCGCCGAGCTCCTCAGCCCCCGTCGTCCTCCCCCTCCCGCCTCCGCGGGGTGGTATGTGCAGGATCAGAGTTCTGGAAAGGTTACACCCGGTCCTCTCGCCCGGGTGAAATGTGAGCGCCTTGGGCAAAGGCTCCTTGCACATAGAAGGACCGAATCCCGACCTCCGCATGCCTCGCTTCTCACCCTCCTGCCACCAAGTGCTGCAGAAGCAACCCCAGCCCGCCCCTCCCCCGCCCACCTGTCGCCGCCCCCCACCCTCGCGCGGGCTGCCGGCCGCAGGACCTCCCTGCCCCCCCCACTCTGGCCACATTGCTTCGGGTCAGCGTCACCGTCCAGGTTCCCGAAATAGCCCGCGGCAGGGACAGCGACTCACCCACTGGAGAACTTTGATGAAGCCCAGCGGCTCCTCCAGCCGCCGCCAGCGCAGCCCCACGAGCAGGCGATCCACCTGCGAAGACAGGGAGGGCCAGGGGTCAGGGCGGCAGCAGACCCGGGAAGGCTCTCCACATCCAGGAGGGGGCAGGAATAAGGGTCCCGGCACCCAGCTGGAGAAGGGCGGTGAGGGAGCCCCGGGGACGCGCGGGGTGTACCTGCTGGCGCGGCGACTTGTCCGCTGGGCGGCTCGGGCTCTCCGTCGAGGACATGCTGGCGCAGCGGGGCCGGGGCGCGGCGCGGGGGCTCGGCTCCCTCGCCCGGAGGCTGCGGGGGCCGCGGGCGCGCGGGGGGCTGCTGACCCGCGGCGGGGCACGCGAGCGGTGGCGGAGCGCGAGCGGCCGGCGGCGGCCCGGGGTCCAGGCTGGGTGGGCGGGTCGCCGGGGCGCCGCTGCTTGCACTCGCCGAGGTCGCGGCCGCCGCGCTGCCCCTCCAGCTGCAGAAAGCCCCCGAGTCCGATTCAAACTTCCGTCAAACTCGCCAGCGAACTTGGCCGCCTAGTCACGTGGCGTGCCCTCGGGAACCCTCCTCCCGCCCCCTGCGCCCCTTTCTCAGCCCGCAGGGCTCCTTAAAGGGACCTGTGGCCTCTACGGGAAGTTCGGCCCCGAGGGGGCTCGAGTTCTTTGCCAGAAGCCTCCAGGGTCAGACCCAAGGGAGACACCGCAGCCGCTCCGACCTGCTGCCGAAGTCGGAAAGTAGCCTGGCGCTCTGGGACGCACGGCTCCTAGTTTATCTTTCTCTATTTCCCGGGGTCTGGAGCCGTTTTTCTCTTCTTCCACCACGCAATACCTAGAACCTAAAGGATTTTCACAAGGCATTATCAGTTTTGAAATCTAAATCTAAATCTAAGGTTCTAAACCCTTCGGTTAACAAACCACTCTCTTCCAAAATCTTGGAGAGCCAGTACAGATGAAGGGGGCAGTAGACCATAAATTGCTCATTTTCTACTTTGTCTAGGTAGGGGTTGCTTTCTTTCTTTTTCTTTTTTTTTAAACAACAAAAGGCATTCGTACATCATACTTTAAAAGGTGTTAATCTTTTAAAAGTATAAACTCAATCTCCTTTAAAATAGCCTTCACGATTTGAATGAAAGTAAAGTCTGAGGACTAGAGGGCTGAGAAAATGTCATTTGTATTGAAAAGTTGTCATTGTTGCGTTATGACCGACCTTAAGCCGGTCCCCAACTTTCAAAGAGAGTATTCGGCAGGAGCCCCCAGTGAGTAGTGAAAAATTTGACCCATTCGGGTTACCGGATTGTCAGTGTAAGTGGTGAAACGTTCAGTGCTCTGTCCAAGGTCACTGAGTGAGCCGGGGGCTAGAGCCCCGAGCCGGGAGCCGCCGGCGCCTATTGCCCACCTCCCCAGAGTCATTCTCGGAGGTGTCCGCAGGTGCTTCAGAAGGACTGTTTTTTGAACAAACATTTAGTTTTTGTTAATCGATTCATCCCCCACTGAGTAAGTGCCCCCGCCCCCCAAGGCTGGGGGAGCAGGGAGTTGCTGGGAACAGGTGGCCTGGACTTGAAGGAAACTTCCTCAGAGCGCCAGGCAAATTTAGGCTGAGGAAGGAACAACTGAGGCCCCGATCCAGCTTTTTAATAAACTGTTCTGCAGTTTCAGGTTCCTGTCCCATGGAATAGGGATAATAATTTCTGTCCTACTTACTGTACAAGGTCATTGTGAGGATTAAGTGGCACGGTGTTTGTAAATGCTCACACTACACAAATAATACTTATTACCAATGTCTATGACAACACACATATAGAATGTAACACAATCAGATAAGAATCAGAATAACACAGCAAAAACCCACACACACCCACTGATCTTGTTAGCACTCTGCCTGGTCTCAAATCCATTCTTTCTGAATTAAACAAAAACTGCATATAAAATTAAAGTCCTTCATATCTTTCTCTCCCTCTCATCTTCCTCCCCCGAAGTAACCACTATTGTCTCCTGAATTTATCAGCCACATGTATATTTTAATACTTTTACTATATATGTGTATATAACTATATCTAGAAACAACATATAGAAATTCACCAGATATAGTTATTTCACTAATTGTTTTGAACTTTATCTAAATATTATGCTTTAGATAAAGATATGAGTATCTTTATAGTATATTAGATATGCTTCCTTAACTTCCTTTTTAAGTTAATGTTGTGTTTATGAGTTATCTAGCCTGATGTATGTACCTTTAGTTCATTTATTTTAGCTACATAGAATTCCACAATATATACAGACCATAGTGTGCTTACTAATTCTCATATTGATGAACATTTGGAAAAATATTTACTCTTACACACAGCAGTTCATTGAATGTGTACATGTCTCCCTGTGCACATGCGCATAGGTTGCTATGCAGCACTGATTTTCCAAATTTCTTTTTCTTTTTTCTTTTCTTAGACATAAACCCTGGTAAGAAATACATTTTTATGGCCCATTAGGAGTGGGCAAAAGTTGGCTTACAACTGTGAGTATGAGAAATATAGAGTTTATTCTTGTATTATTATTGATTATTATATTATTTATTTTCATTACAACTGTAAACCTACTTTTGCCCACCCCTGTATAAACTGAAACAAAAATTTCACAAACCAGTCTTGTATTTTCTATTCCATTTCATTAAAAAAAAAAAAATCTGGTCATGTAGTGGCAGATCCAGGTTTTGTGGGGCCTCAAATTTGTAGAGTTTGAGGTCCCTCTTTAGAAAAAGAATACAAAATTAGTAACCAGGCCTTAGAAGAGGCTTCACAAGCAAAGGGTTCTGAAGATTAAGCTTCATTAGTTACAGAGTAACTTCCCTTCTGAGCAGACACTAGATGGATTTAATGACTCATGAATAATGGGTCTCTACCAGCAGTTTGATAAACTTCACCTTATACTTAAAAGTGAGCTGGCTATGTCATAAGATGAGAACATTTCAACATTCAGTTTTGATAAATATAACCACTGCCATAATCAGGATATAGAACTTGCCAGTCATTCCTAAGAGCTCCCACCTGCCAATCTGCAGGCAATCATTGATCTACTGTCATTATAAATTAGTTTTGCCTTTTCTAGAATTTCAGATAAATAGAACTACACACTATGTACTCTTTTGTGTTTGGCTTCTTTCACTTGGCATAATGATTTTGAGATTCATCCATATTGCTGCACTTAGCAGTTTGATCCTTTTTATTGCTGAGTAGTATTCCATCATATTATGAAGTATAATCCATCACAATTTATCTAGTCACCTGCCAAAGTACATTTAGGGGTTTTTTTTCTTTTTTCTTTTTGCTATCATGAATAGTTCTGCTGTAAAGATACTTGTCCAGGTTTTTGAGTGAGCATACATATTTATTTCTAGGGCAAATACCCAGAAGTAAAATTTCTAGATTATGAGGAAATAAAAGTATATTTAATTTGATATGAAACTACCAAAGTTTTCAAGAGTGGCTTTCCCACCAACAATGTATTCCAGTTGCTTTGAATCTTCTTCAGCGCTTGGTATTAGGTTTTTCCATCTTTTTTTTTTTTTTTTTTTTTTTTTTTTTGCCATTCTAAAATGTTTCTCACTGTGGGGTTTTTAAATCATTTTTTATTTTTCAGTTACAGGTGACACACAATATTATATTAGTTTCAGGTGTACACCCCAGTGATTAGACATAATAGAACTTACTAAATGATCAATGCCAATAAATCTTGTACCCATCTGACACGACACATAATTAGTAGAATATTACTGACTATATTCCCTATGCCTTACTTTACATCTCCTTGACTGTTCTGTAACCACCTTATTCCCTTCATCTTTTTCACCCATTCCCTCAACCCCCTCCCATCTGGCAACCATCAAAATATTCTCTGTATGAGTTTGTTTTTGTTCTGCCTATTTATTTTGTTTTTTAGATTAAATTGTTGATAGGTATGTATTTATTGCCATTTTATTGTTCATATTTTTATGGGTTTTTTTTCTTCTTAAATTAGACCTTTTGACATTTCCTGTAATACTGGTTTAATGGTGATGAACTCCTTTAGCTTTTTTTTTTTTTCCTGGGAAGCTCTTTATATGTCTTTCAATTGTAAATGATAGCTTTGCTGGGTAGAGTAATCTTGGTTGTAGGTCTTTACTTTTCATCTCACTGTGGCTTTAATTTGTATTTCCCCAACAGCTAATGATATAGAACATCTTTTAATGTGCTTATTTGCCACCTGGGTATCTTCTTTGGTGAAGTGCCTGTTCAAGGCTTTTGCCCATTTCTAAACTGGGTTGTTTGTTTCTTACAATTGAGATCTGCGAATTCTTTATATATTCTGAATGCAAGTCCTTTTTGGGTATGTGATTTGCAAATATTTTCTCCCAGTCTTTGGCTTGTCTTCTCATTCAGAAGAATTAAATATTAATATTTAATATTAATAAAGTCCAACTTTTCAATTTTTTTTCTCTTACACGTCATGCCTTTGGTGTCATATCTAAAAAGTCATCGCCAGACTCAAGGTCATCTAGATTTTCTCCTCTGTTATCAGCTAAGAGTTTTACGGTTTTGCACTTTAGAGTTAGGTCTATAATCCATTTTAAGTTAATTTTCATAAAGACTATACAGTCTGTGTCTAGATTCACTTTTTTGTATATGGATGTCCAGTGGTTCCAGCACCATTTTTTAAAAAGCTTATCCTTTCTCCACTGAATTGCCTTTGTTCTTTTGTCAAAGATCAGTTGACTGTATTTTTATGGGTCTATTGCTTGATTATTGAACATTAAATCAGCCTTGAATTTTTGGTCACAATAAGTTGTTCTTCATATAGTTTTCTTTATATATTCTATAATTCATATTTATATATTATATATTGCGAGTTCAATTTCTGTTGAGGACTTTTGCATCTATGTTCATGAAGGCTATTGGTCTGCAGTTTTCCTTTTTTGGAATGCCTTTGTTTGGTTTTGTAATCAAGGTTATGATGGCCTTCTAAAATGAGTTGGGGAAAAAAAGAAAAAAATTAGTTGGGAAACATTCCCTTTTCTTATATTTCCTGGAGAGATATTGCTTTTTAAAAAGCTGACATCATATTTTAATCCAACCAACTGTACATTCAAGGTAACATCACTCTCAGCATTTTTTAATCCATAAAATTATTCCATAGCAGATAGTTCACTTTTAAAAAGTTCTGTTAGGAGTAGAGGCACCCTACTAAAGGAAATTAACCACTTACCAAATTTATGACCTAATAGATTTTTGTTCATTTGTTTTAGATAATATTGGGAGATACTAAAGACTTCTTGGACTTTGGTAAAATGACTTCTACTCTCTGGAATCCGAATTCTGTTGGATTGGAATTTGTAAAGGCCTAATGCATTTAAAAACCACTTAATCTTCATACGTACTTCAGAAGAAAATAGTTTAAAGGGAAACATATATATGAAAGTAAAAATCAATGGCTGTTACAGTAATGAAAAATGGAAATCATGACAATTACTGTGTGCAACAATG